CGGAATTTATCCCGTTTTGCTACGTGACAAGCGCCATTAAATTTATTTATTCAGCCACGCAGTCGCGCAGGTTTGCAGACGCAGGAGAACTCCCAGAAGTCCCCGGGACCCCCCTTCTGTCCCCGCCAGCCACTCGCCCTATCACCTCCCCCCCCCCTCCCTCCCGCCCCCATCCTCCACCTCCGTGTTCTACAGGTGAAAACGAAACGGCGAACGAATATTGGAAGCGTGCGCGCGATTGCAAGTGATGTATTGTAGACTGCGGTAATATTCTACGCGAAAAGGAACAAAACGAGAACATTCGAACGTTGGAAATATTATTTATTGACGAATATAGAAGTCGGTGAGAAAAATGCGCGCGGGCGTAGAACGCAAAACCGTTTACTTTTGCTCCGAATTCTGCTCGTCAACAGATCCGTACGTCAGGCCGCAGCTGAATGTGATTAAGCGAGAAATAAGTGACCGTTAAATAATCGGCTCAAGAGATATATGTGACTTCATGTTGGAAATATTATTTTTTACTATTAACATCAGTGTCTTTACTTGCTCAAATTTATTGTTGAACTTCATCACACGAGCGTGTACAAGGAGTGTAACGTTGGTTCTAGTCCGCGAATGCTTTCGATTCTTAGATAACCGGCCACGTCTGATTTTATCAAACTGATAAAGTTAACGCGCCACACAACTATAGAAAAGCACATTATTTTGCGCTTTCAAAATAGAACAGCCATCAAAGCTCTCAGGACTGTCATTCGCGATCACAAGGGTGCAGTGATTACCGGGCACTCCTCGATATCTCAACGAGCAAACTTCATCGGCGGCGGATCAATGAACGGTCGTTCCCGCGGAAAATTCGTCCCTCGGCGTGAGAATTAAATGCGGCGGTCGTTGCCGGCGGAGAGCGAGAGCGCGAGAGAGCGAGAGAGAGAGAAACGAATCCGACCGGTTCCAAGGTTCGTATTAATTCTTAATTTCTTAATTTCAAGTCGACCGTTAAGTACAGCGCCAAAGAGGTCTGGCCTGCCATCGGTAACCGCCGCGCCGGTTCCCTCCTTCACTCTCTTTACTGCTTTATCCACCCTCGTTTCCGGCTCTTCGGCTGCCGATGAAGGAAGAAAGAAAGGGGAGGTTGAGAGCGAGCGCAATTAAGCTCTCGCTCTCTTCGGGGATCCATTCATTTTTCAGGTAACGTCGCCGGACGGCCTCATCTAAGTTTTAAATCGCGTGCTGGCGGCGGTCTACGATACGCGACCGGCCTTGGACGAGGGACGGAGGTAGGGTTCGCCGCCAATTTATGTATATCGGGCCGAGATTTGCATTCACGCTAACTATTATACTCGACTCTTTCCCAATTCTGACGACGACAGCGAGTTCCTGTCACGTAGATATTTGTTAACACTGGCGTGCGTAAACTAGCTTACATCAGGAGCCCGTTATTTAGTTAAGCTCGCCTTGTAACAACGTCTACGCTAAGGCTGCGAAGATGTCGGATAAGCATAAAAATTGGAGCGATAAAAGTCAAACTGTCAAACAATCTTCTTCGATGCGGAAAGTCTGAATTGCTCCCCTACGATCATATTAGGCTCGTTAATGAAACGTTTTCTTACACCAATACTAATGGAAGTTTACAGCGAACTCGCGTATTACTATTGTCAAAATTCACTTCTCCCGTTTAAATAAACGATAATTTTAAATAGCAGGATCCACCTTTCCGGATAATGTTTCCGAATATAATTTAATCAAATTAAGACTTGAGTTGATCGAGATTGCAAAAACTCATGAAATATGTAAAAAGACTTAAATTATTTGAATAACTTATTTCAAAGAGAGCTAAATATATGTAAAAAATATGCACGAATTCCTCAGTCATGAATACGGTGTGCAAGTATTAAAGCAAAATGGTAGTTTCTGAAAAGTTTCATAAGCCGAAACGTGCAATGAGTATAACGCATTTCCCGGCAACGCCATTAGCTTTATCAGCTGCCTCGCGGTCTAGCTATTTCATCGACAGAAATCTCCCGCTTTCGCGCTCTCTCCTCTCGCGCTTTCGCGCAGCAAAAGTGGAATCAGATGGGTATTGGCGAGATGGAGCATCTGTGATGACCCGATGAGAGACCGGTCTTTGCGCTTGTGTATTTACGTTTCAAACTACGGGCGCGAGCTCGCACCACGTTGTCAACTGGTAGCCGTGCACCGCCGAAAACGAAAGCTTCTCAGGTCATTGTCAAATTGACGAAACACGCAAATGGCATATGTTTGGCGCGATAGCGATACGGGCACGCGCGTACATTAGCCAAGCATTGCGCGAAGGCGCAAGTGTCGCACACGAAAGTCCGGTAAAACGGCAGAACGGTCAACGTGTACTCTGCCATACGTGAGAAAATATACTCCGTTCGTACTTCGCGAGTGACGCGGTTCGAAATTTCCGCCCCTCGCTTTTGCTGCCTCCGAAATCGTCCGAGTGTGGATAACACGACCGTGCACGCTCGTCGTTAGGATGCACGTGGGCGTGGACATGAACTTGTGTATACCCACGTGTGTGCACCGTACGTAGGAGTCGAATTCCGAAATGGCGTCATGTACGTCCACCAGCGCGCACGTTCACGCCCGATGGTATCTCCAATGTGGGTCACATACATAGAAGGGAGAAGTCCAGTCGCTACGGGAGCCGGAACTCTGCATTCAAAGCCGAACGGAGGACTTTTGATAGAGAACGAGAGAGAGAGAGAGAGGGAGAGAGGGGGGGTGGAATTAGGGGGTAGGTAGGTTCAAGATAGAGATAACGGCAAGCTCTGATATCTCAAGTCCATTTCTAGCTCGTGCCACGAGTCGCGGACAAACGTGTCGTGCGCCCGACTTCCTTTTCTTCTCCCACTCTTCTTTCATTCGCCGACCCTACTCCACTACCCTCGATCCTTCGGAACCACGTCGTGTCACCTGAGAGCCGGGCATATATTCCCCCGCCATCGACCAAGTTTTCCAATAAATTTCTATATCCGCCGGCTGCATCTGCAACGGACGACCCAGGACCGCCTTATTATGCGACCATTCGGCGACGCCGAATTTCTCCCGTATCTCGATCCGCCGCTGTCGATGATAAGCGGCATCGGTTCTCCCCATAGACGATCGCTCCGCTGCAGACTTTAACGTTCCGCGCAGTATGCATGTATGACCATGACAAGGAATCTGATTCACCGTAATGGAAAGACGCTATCGCGATCTTCATGCATGGCGTACGTTGTTTTTATTGCGTTAGGCTAATCCGAGACAAATTATGGTTGCAGGTTGCAGGTTCAAATGTCAATTGTAAAATCTATATGATATCATTTGCCATCCTCATACTTTCGATTTAACCAGCAGATATTGTTAGGATTTATTTATATTAAAAAATTTTTTACATTCTGCATTGACATTTCATGAGATATGAATGTATATTTACTGAGAAAACTATGATGAAGTATTGGTAAAACAATTGGCACGGAGTTGTGACTTGCCGAAAGTAACGCTCGCATTTAAACGGAACAATTGAAGCCATAACGATTCTATTAATTTTACGATACGGTTTTAACTCGGTAATAAGATAATCGAAAACTTCCAACTTGATAACTATTATTACTTCATCCTCCTTATTAGAATCACTTATTATTACTTCCTCGTGAGAAGCCATTTAGAGCAACCGCGCCGGAATTGGAATCGAAGAATGCGCGTGTGTTCTATTTGTCGGCTACTCCAACTCGATGAATCATCGTTATCGAGATGAGAAAACTCGTACAATAATGCATTTTAAAGACGTTTCCAGGATCGATAAAAGCCAGGTTTTGTCCCAAGTGGCTCAATTTCTAATCACATTATCTGCCACTCGAAACATTCACGAGAACGTTCTACAATAGATTCCTTTATCTTTTTAAATATAGGTCTCGTGATAAGATTGCTCTCAGCTCCCAAGATAGTCAAAATGTATTAGTCAATACGTAAATTTTCATAACACACACTTTTCACATGTCGAGTTGTTTCATTATTATTAAAATATAAAAGACTTATTTGATATTTATTAAAAGAAATCACTTTAAAAGAGATTGAAAAAGTCTCGATGAATTACTCGATAAACTTAGAATCAATTCCTTCCAAAATTAAATACTTCTTAAACAACTTAGGTACGTACTTTTTTTTAGTTATTTCATGCGACATATAAATCGAATACAATCTTTAATTTCTGAGTTACGAGGCGAAAGTTAAACGTGTCATTTCGCGATAATGCGATAAACAAAGATTGACTTTCTGTAATCTATGAACAAGTTAAGCAACCAGAGCGAATGAGATCATTCACACGTGAATAATATTATGTCACGCATTTTGAAACAATCCAAATAGCGATACCCCGATATCACTGTTATGAGCCATAACGATCAAAATTCATGGGAACTGCAGCGAGGCAGAATTGTCGTCGCGCGCCGTTGACGTCGTGTAAATGGAAATGAGTGCACTTGTTCGTCCAAAAATCAATAGCGTTCCGCGCGAAATGGCCAATAAAATATGCAAAAGTACTAAACAATGTAAATCCCATGAATCACAGTCGTCGACAGTGCCGCTCGATTTTGCGACACAAGAGGAAATGGTGAGGATGTGCGATACATCGATAATGTAACCAACTGAAATGATAGTCAATGATATTGCCCTCTCGTTGCCCGCGACTCCACCGGAACTCAGCAATGTGTTACATATAATGCTGGTACACGATCCATTTTACATGGGAGATTTTATAAATTGGAAATAATACGAGACCTCATAAGGAGATATCTCGCCGGATTTCATAATACGTTAACTCTTAACGTTGCTAATTATAAATGTGACACACACTTAAAAATGCGATATCAAAAAAGACTGTTTTTTTGTCTGCGCGATATCCTCAACTTTAAAATAAGGTTCATCGAGTTTGAGCTTTAACTTCGCAATGTAGGGCAGTGCAGTAACGATGTAAATTTTTGGACATCTGTACTTACCGGACCGAATTGTTCGAAGTAATTTTTGACGTCCTCCAGCGTCGTCGGCGCCGATAATCCCCCGACGAATATCTTCTTTGTCCTTGTCACCATCTGTAAGAGGACAAAGAGTAAAAACGAGACGTTATTTTATATCTTGAAATAACCTTTTTAAATGAAGGTAATATAACCTTCCAGAATAAAAAATGAAAAGTGACACGGCTAATGTCCCAGGAACAATGTTCCAGGAGAGGAAATAACATTTTCGACGCGATATAATCGCGCTAGAGAAATTGATAAGAAATTCATCAAATATGAATGACTTGTGTCTGGATGTACTATGACATTTCCAGGTAGACTCCTCCACCGGCGGTGTTCCTGCCGTTGCTTTTAGTCTTTCATATTCCATACCTGTCTGGCTATCGACAGAAAAGTCGTAAATAATCGACACAGGTGCATTATTAACAGCCGAACTTACGCTTCAATATAACATATACCAATACGTGAATATGGAGAGAAAACACTCGCGATATTCGGTTCTCTATAAAATTTAGGAAATAGGAAATAGAAGATTTTTCCTCCTTGGTGATCGCAGACTTCGTAAAGAGAGAAACGGGAAAGTGGGAGGAACAAATAACGTTACCGCATTATGCTTTAAGGAACGAAACCTGAGAACGACGCGTTAAAGGTCACGGCCAAAATCGCAGGGGATGTTACTGGGTGCCCGCTTATCGCGGATTCGTCTCGGGTGTGCGTGTCGTGAATCGCAAGGAAGAGCGAAGAAAATACGTGCGACGTCGGGACGCAACGGCATCGTTCTGTTAAGGTTGCTCGCGGCGAATCCGAAACGCGACATCGAATTCTGCATTCGATGCGATTACAAGCCACACGCGAACTCGACGTCTCCGATCTCCGATATTCCTCGCATCTCCTGTTAGATATTGAACGTCAACCCACGCATCGGGAACTACATCAACCGGCGGATATCAGTGTGGTATGATAATATAACCAATGAATTAGAAATGGAGATCACGAGAAATTCGATTAGTATTTAAAGACCGTCTAATCGATCGCTCACACACACACACATGCACACACGTATGCACGCACGCTCGCATACACGACGATGAAGCAATAAAATGTGCCGAGGAATAAAAATTTCCAATAATAAAAATTTTCCAATAAATTTTTAGGAAATAAAAATTGAAAAAAGCATTTTCTTGATATATGCTCACATAGCACAATGTATGAAAAATATCTTTACTCTTTTAATAAACTACATTTGTACATTTGTATGTATGAATGTATGTGTGTGCGCGCGCGCACGCGTGTGTGTACTTATTTAGAATAAATAAAAGTTTGCAAAAAGATTTATTTATATTAACGTCTAAAATTTCAAAAGAGAAAAATAACGGCACAGCGATTGGGTATAATGTGATCATTAATAGTCGGATAAACATAGCGAGGTAATTTAATAAAGATAATTGATCGATTTCTCCATGAAATCAGCTCCGACAAGGTGGATTAATATGAGGAGCTTAAGGGAGCTGAAAGGAGAAAAGCTCAGGGAAAGACCGATACTTCTAGTCTTGAAATCTTGATAATACAATCGCATTGTAATAAAGCCGCGGGCGGACGAGCCGGGGAATGAAAGGCAGAAGTCGAACATTTTACGGGCGGAAGTTCCATGCTGAGGAAAGGAAGGCACGATCGGGGTAGAAAGAAAGATGGGAGAGGGAGCTGGGGCGCGGCGGAAAGGGCGGAAGAGGTAAACTCTGGCAATTTCAGTGATGGCTGGGCTTAGACATCTCTATATCCGGTGAGTAACGCAAACCCCCGGGAGGACGCGAGTCTTTCCACCCCGTGCGCTCCTGAACTCGACCCTCTCCCCCCCCCCCCTCTAGTTTTCTCTAACCCTTCTTCAAAACCCCATGCAAACTCGCAGCTTTCTCCGTGCCGGCGTCCTTGTCTGGAAGGGAATGGAGAGAGGTAGGTTTCTCTTGCGAGGTGGGTTAATCAGCGAAGTGTATAAAGTCCGGAGAATAAAAATAAAATGGCAGGATCTCTCGAAAATTAAATAAACGATTCGCCTCGATTTCGTCGGCGAGAGGCTCATCGTAAGGAGAAAATAGCAAAGAGGGAGAGAGAGAAATACTCGGGAATAAAGAAGGATATTATCATGAATGGACAAGGTGAGGAGAGAAGCGATGGAAGAAGGCGAACTTAAACCAAGGAGGCCACTTATTCGAATGAAACCGCTGCAGCTACTCCTCCCCTTCTTCAGTGCCAAAAGCGGGAATTCGGCTCTCCTCGTGTTCTCCACCGACAAACGAAATCCAGTTTTGCATTCTGCTGTTGCCCGCCACGTAATGAGTACATTGTCGTGAGAAGTAGGTAGATTTTTGGTGAAATCTTTCATCTTCCTCGTTCGTCATACGGGACAAACATTTTTATTAACAGTTCGAAACCGAAACGAAATATACAATTTTACACAATGTTTTTAGAAAATGCTTTCCTTTACTGCCAATACATACGTCATTTTTATCAATTCTCTCAGGCCGCTTCTTTCTCAATAAATTCTCTCTGTATAAAACTTCATACAAGCGTTACAAACGCAAATTAATTTTTTTCTCAGAAAAAAAACTCTTTATCGCGCGACACAGATAGACAACGTATTAATGTCTAGCCAATCGTTGTACAGTTAGCTTAATGCAGAGATAAAGCCGCGTGTTCAGCCTAGGACAGCGGGAGGAGAACCAACTGGCGGAATAAACGGTCGAATTTTCGTAGCAGAGGCGCGACGCGAACAAGAGATGGAAACGCAGACGACGGAGTGGGCCGCTTCGCGCCGCGGTTAGCCCGGCGAAGAATAAGGTGGAAAAATATAAGTCATGAGAGGAGCGCGGGGGGGAGAGCGGGGCCCCCTCGGGTCGTTAGCGGAGATAAGAGCGGATAGCGGTGGAATGGTAATGGAAACTCGGCGAGTTCCACTTATTACGCCGTAGCATTATGTAAATACCGGAAGGCTATTACAATTTTACAACTTACTAGGAGTGGCTTTATAGTTTCATCGCTCGAGGGAGGAGGCGGGCGAGAGGGCCGTCTCATCTCTCTTTACCGACCTCGTGCTTTCCTCACTCGATACGCGACCGCGTATATGTTTCCAGCTCACCTTTAAAGTTTCTGCGTCTACGAAAATGAAATCGCCCCGTAGAAAGGAAGGTGGAAGTTATCTCTGGCGCGCGCTTCGCTATTTGCAGAAATTTAATATTCATCTATAATTTACGCTCTGTAACTTAATACGACGCTGTAATGACGTAAGTTGTTGTTCCACGTTAATTTTGAATTATACGCGGCCGTAATCCATTGGAATCCGCGCTTTAAAAAGAAAAAAAGAGCGGCTGCGAAATTTGCGAGAACGAAATGAAACGCGAGAGCGCATTCAGCGTCAATTATCGCACAAAGTGTGTGACTTTGTGCTTTATCGGCGACAATTGACTGGTGAAATAGAAACATTTTTCTCCGACAAAATTATTGTGTAACGCAAATTACGAGCAGAAACGCGAGGTTCGCAATAAAAGACGCGCTTAATAGCAATGCACAGTTTCTGAAAAAAAAAAAGATAGGAGAGAACAGAGACAATAGTCAGCGTGTCTTTTATGGCCGTCGGACATTATCGTTCCACGTTATTGCGATGTATTCGTAAATGTCATAATCAGTTCCACGTTTTCCACCGCGTTTATCCCCACCCTCCTCCTCCTCATCCCCAAAGAACACGTGAAGGGCTGCGACGGCAAGAAAAATATTAGAACAAACGTTAATCAGCGGTCACGTGTTCGCGCTTTAACGATGGGATGCTTTCGCTCCCATTCGCGATCATTTCGAGAGCTTAATCGTGCGTCCCGATGAGATCCCCGCGAATTTACATAACCAAGAGACGTCCGAGATCGCGCGCAATCCGCCAGTGGTGCGGCACGATTTTTAAGTGAACGCGTAAAGCCGACACGCGTGTTATTAGATAGCGCCGCGAGATACACGCCGTGTATTACTTGCTGTTGCACACAGAATAACGTTGTAATCGCATTAAGCATAATACTACGAAAATTTTGCATTTCGCTAAACGGCGCTAATGCGTTACGTACATACGTGTGTGCGTGTGCGCGCGCGCGCGTGTCTACTTGCGTGTATAACAGAGAGCCCGAAAGAGAGAAATAAAATAGTGCGTGGGTTCCTCGTTACGAATAAATTATCGTTTTCCGTTGCGTCATGTACACTATCAATTTAGCGACGCAATAGCTTTTGGTAACGTGTATCCATGGTTGAATAGCCCATCTGTATTATTACATCGCAGTACAGCGGCCAATCAACTCAACTTTAAAATCAATAACCCCAACGCGCATTGCAAATATTACTTTGTCCACTTGGCCCCTTTGGCAATCACGTAGGATATGGCATCGATAATGTTATATTAGCGGGAACGCATAAATATGACAGATTGAAATGTAGATTAATTTTTAACGAACGAAAGAATCAGACCCTCTTAACTGGCACGATGTTCAAACACTTTAACCAATTTTCGGTAATTAAATGTTGTTGCAAATAACTCCCGGTTAATTATAGCTAATATCATCATTGTTCCGCCAGCTTTGTGGATGCCTATTGTGTAATTTTCTCGCGTAGCACACGCGTGTCAGTTTAATATACGCTAATATCTAATTGTCCGTTAGCGCCATTTTCAGACAGGGATGAAGGCGATCAAAATTGCGTAGCGCAGAATGATTCGGCATTGTCGTGGATCGAGGTCACAGGGACGAACGGGACGGGGATAAGGTCGGGAGAGAAGGATACGCGTTGATGGAGGAAAAAATGGGAGAGGGAAGGAAGAAAAAGTGACGGAGGGATCCCAGGACGAGGCTCTCGCAACCCTCGGGATGATAACCGATTCGCCCAGCCTGTCCCTCGCCCTTTCGCCCTACTTTTTCTCCAGCTAGCCCAGTGCCGCGGAATCCATAGTCTTTCTTCCAACCCTTCTGTCTCCTAAGCGATCCATCCCCACGTCCTGAACCGCTCAGAAAGAATTAATCCTGGCCAACCCGGCGACTGTGGTCCCATCC